TTCCAAAATGGCTGCAATACCCAGGTCTGGGCCAAGGGAAAACCAGAATCCAGGAACTCCATCCAGGTCTCCCACATGGGTGGCAAGGGCCCAAATACATGGCCATCATTCGCTGCTTTCCCAGGCCAGGACTCCATTGCAAGCAGTGCGCCATTGTGCTGGCCTCATCCTTATTTTTTCTAATATGTATTTAAGAAAGCTTGCTTGCTTTCAAATTTATTTATTTGAAAGACAGAGTTAGAGAAGCAGGAAGAGAGTGAAGGGGAGAGAGAGAGAGAGAGAGAGAGAGATTGATTTTTCATCTGCTGATTCACTCCCCAGATAGCCACAATAGCTGGGCCTGGGCCAGGCTGAAACCAGGAGCCAGGAACTTCATCCAGGTTGCTCAAGTGAGTGGCAAAGACTCAACCATTTGGGCCATCTGCTACTTTCTCAGGTCATTAGCAGGGAGCTGGATCAGAAGTGGAGCAGCCAGGTCACAAACTGGCCCCCATATGGGATGCTGGTGTTGCAGGCAGCGGCTTTACTCACTATGCCACAACATCAGCCTGACCTTTTTTTTTTTTTTTTTTTTGGAAGATTTATTTGAAAGGCAGAGTGACAGAGAGAAAGAGATCTACTCCTCACAAGACTGCAACAACCAGGACGGGGCCAATCCAAAGCAAACAGCCAGGAACTACATCAGGATCTTCCACATGGTTAGCCGTGGCCGAAGTCCTTGGGCTATTTTTCACTGCTTTCTTTGGGTCAGAAGTGGAGCAACCACTACTCTAACTGGCTGTCTATTATGGGATGCTGGCATTACAAGCAGAGGCTTAAAAGGCTGTGCCACAATGCCAGCCCCTCGTGTTGAAATTTAATTCCCATTGTGATGTATTAAGAGATGGCACCAGCTGGGACATTTAAGAGTTTATTAGGTCATAAGATCTTTGCTCTCATGAATGCATTAGTCCATTAATGAATGAATGGGCTAATGGGTGATCTCAGGAGTGGGTTTGTTATAAAAGCTGGTTTGGCTCTATCTCTCGTACGCACCCCTCTCGCCACATGATGTTCCAGGAGACTTCTGGACTCTGAACAGAGTCTCCACCAGCAAGAAACCCTAACCAGATGCAATTCTCTTGACCTTGCTCCTCCCGGCCTCCAGAACCATGAAGTGGTCCTGTGTGTCTTATAAATTTCCCAGTCTGTGCTATTCAGTTACATTTACAAAAAACAGAGCTTCTATAGTTAGAGGCTGTGTTATTAGATATACATAACCAAGAACGGTTGTGTCTTCCCAGTACATTTAAACTTTTATAATTATAAAATGTCTCTATATTAATGGTTTTGGCATTAAAAACTATTATAACTATTATGTTTAGTATTAATATAATTATATTCACTTTCATTTGGTTAGTATTCTTATGTTTTTTATCCTTTCGCACACAATATTTCTTTGTCCTTATATTTTAATCACTTTTTGGATCAGCAGGCATATGATTGAATATGCATTTATGTATGTGTGTGTGTTTTACCTATTCTCACAATCTGTCTTTTATTTGAAGTGTTTGGTTTATTTACATTTAAAATAATTACTGATAGATTGTTGTTTAAATCTACCAAATTACTGTGTGTTTTCTATTTGTGCCACATGTTCTAATTTTCTTCTCTCCCACTTATTGACTTCTTTTAAATTTAGTATTTCCCTCTACTCCATTTCTCAGTTCTATTAGCTTGGTAGTTGAAGCTGGAGCCTATGTCACCTCTCCTTATTCTACTTCAGATTTCTGCAGTATTGGGATGGAATACCTGGGAATGAGAGAGAAAAATGAGGCACTTCTCATCTGAGGCACAGCTGTCCTTGAAAGGGCTGTCTACTGAAGGCACAACAGACATCTTCAGCGAGACATGGGAGGCGACACAAAGCGCCCGCCAAGAACTGTGCAAGATCAGAGATCTTACCCTACTTTTACACTAACAAGTTAGTCAACTGCAGTGTCACGGATGATGACAAAGGATTTGAGACTTTTGAATTAGTAATTAAGGACAGTTTATTATTCCCAGTAATGGTAGTTATAAGCATTTGGACTGGTGCCCAGAATCTCAAATCCTACAGTGTGACGTGATGAGGGCTAGTTGATGCCTGGACATGTAGTAGGCTTCTGATCTTAGAACACCCTAAGATTTTATAACAGATTAAAATCAAATCTTTCCAATATCTGTGCTGCAAAGAGACATTATATATCTCAATTCATCAGGATGTATTAGTGATTGTAAGAACTGTGCCTTGATCTATAGGAAAGAGTCTGTATTAGTCAGCTTTTCTTCACTGTAACAAAATGCCTGAGATGAGCTATTTATGAAGGAAGGAAATATATTTTGGCTTGTGGTTTTGCAGCTTCACAGTCTAAGATAAGGCAGATCCCTTGGTTCAGTGTCTAATAAGGTTGGAAGATGGCAATGTGGAGCATGTTCAGAGATAGTATCACAGAGTGAGACAAGAAGCAGAGAGAGAATGGCTGGGCCTGAGTCAGGTTCTCATCACCAACAATCTGGGAGAACCACCTCCCAAGCTCATGGCCCCAGTGACCCGAGGACCTCCCACTAGGCCTGCCTCCTGTATTATGGTGTTCAGCACCACCGACTCTTCATGAATTCTGGAGCCAACTTCCACTTAAACCACAGGAGAGTCTACATTCATAACAATGAGTTGAGGCCAACCTAATGACTTTAGGACCCAGGTGATGTCATTAATGACTTCATTTAAAGTAGGGCATAAATCTTGCACCCTTTTTTTTTTTCTAATTCGATGACTCTCATTGTAGGGAAAGCTGCCAGCACATTGTGCATACACTTATCCCTCTGGGAGTCTCCTCCAAGCAACCAAGCGTAGTCTCATTTGGCAGTGTTTGTTTTTAAAACTTGTGGATCTCTTATGACCACTCCTAAGAGGTAACTCACTATGTTTTTGGTAGGGAGGAAAGTTAATGCTCAGCTTCCTTTAAAGAAAGAATGTCATGAGGATGCATACAACATCCCTAGAAAGTCTGAGGTTGTTGACAAGTATTGAAGAAGAGATGATCGGGCTGGGCCTTGGCTCACTTGGTTAACCCTCTGCCTGCAGCGCCAGCATCCCATATGGGTGCTGAGTTCTAGTCCCGGTTGCCCCTCTTCCAGTCCAGCTGTCTGCTGTGGCCCAGGAGGGCAGTGGAGGATGGCCCAAGTGTTTGGACTCCTGCATCCGCATGAGAGCTCATGGGAGAATCTGTATCAGTGAAGGTTGGGGAGGGGGCATACAGACAATAGTGTTCCTATTGTGGACTCCTGGCTAGGAGGTAAGCCTAGAGTTCCCAGTTAAGTTAGAAGAATTGAGACTCGTCTTTGATTTGGAAAGACTGCCTCAGAGTAGACAGTCCAACCTTTCCGGTTTGATGCCACTTCAGGAATGACTCAGAGAGAAAGTGAAGAAGACAGTTAGAAGGGTTAACAGTGCTTTGTGTGGGAAGTACAGAAGCCAGGGCCATCTCGTTCTGTTTCTTAAAGGCTTCTTGGTAAGGTTAAGGGGAATAGCTAATTATTGTTACAGCTGTCTGACAGGACATGAAAAAAAAAAACTATCTAGTTAGTTGAATTTAAGTGCTTATAACCATTTAGGAGAACAGCATCAAGGCATTTTCCTTGAGGAGGAAAGCCCCAGAGGCAGTACTGAAGGACAGATATCTTCAATGTCCCTCTCTTCCATATCTCTAAGAGTCTAAGGTGTTCCCTCCTCAGGTGCCAAGGTTGTTATTCCCCTTTTACCTCCACAAAATCAGTGTGTTCGATCCAGTGGTTACACCTCATCTCTTTTCCAACTATGCCCTACTCACACTAAGCCCCTTTGTCCAGAAGGTCAGGCACAAGAAGGACAAGCATATTTTCATAAAGCTTACGGAGATCCCATATGTCCTCCAGTTGGGCCTGCACAGTTTGCATTGGGAAGACTCAGTGAGCAGCATACTCAACCAAGTGTTCATTACCTATTTGATCTAGGACCATGTCAATCCAACAAGAGATTATAGGTGGCTGAATCAGAGTCAAGTTTGCATTTCCTAGCCTTTTGTTTGGGCTGCCACCTGGAGGGGACACCAATCATGCTGCTTTAGTGTTGCCCTTAAGGAAAAGAACGAAACATCATGCCCAAGGACGGTCAGGGTAGAAGCCCACATTTTCAAAATACTTCCGTGTAACTTTTTTTTTAGATTTATTTATTTATTATTTGAAAGGCAGAGTTACAGAGAGGCAGAGGCAGAAGCTGAGAGAGAGAGATGTCTTCTATCCACTAGTTCGCACCCCAAATGGCCACAATGGCCAGAGCTGGGCCTATCTGAAGCCAGCAGCCTAGAGCTTCTTCTGAATCGCCCGAATGAGTGCAGGAGCCCAAGCACTTGGGCCATTTCTGCTGCTTTCCAGGCCATAGCAGAGAGCTAGATTGGAAGTGGAGCAGCCAGGACTTGAACAGGCACCCATATGGGATTCCATCACTGCAGGTGGCGGCTTTACCCACTGTACCATAGCACCATCTTTTCTGTGTACCTCTTGATGCCTTTCATCCTGAACATTGCCCAGCAAGTATTGAAGAAGAGATGATCGGGCTGGGCCTGGGCTCACTTGGTTAACCCTCTGCCTGCAGCGCCAGCATCCCATATGGGCGCTGAGTTCTAGTCCCGGTTGCTCCTCTTCCAGTCCAGCTCTCTGCTGTGGCCCAGGAGAGCAGTGGAGGATGGCCCAAGTGTTTGGGCTCCTGCACCCGCATGAGAGACCAGGAGGAAGCACCTGGGTCCTGGCTTCGGATAGGCACAACACCGGCCATGGCAGCCATTTGGGGAGTGAACCAACGGAGGGAAGACCTTTCTCTCTGTCTCTCTCTCACTGTCTATAACTCTACCTGTCAAATTAAAAAAAAAGAGAGAGATGATCTATTTCTGGGAACCAAACTGTTTTACTAAGCTGTGTGGACCAGAAAACAGTGAGGGAAATAGTTCAAAATATATTTTTAATTAACCTGTTTGTTTTGAGATCATTGTAAATGCATATGTAGTTGTAGGAATTAATACAGAGAGATCCTGTTACCCGCTACCCAGCATCCTCCAAAACTAACAATTTTTCAGATTCATGGTATAATACCCAACAAATCCCATGATACAGTCGTTTCTGTCCCTGCTGGGATCCCTCAATAGCCACACCCACTTACCTACTTCCCTCCCATCCTGCCTCCTTGACCTCTCAGCAATCCACCCATCTGGTCTGCGTTGCTATAACTTTGTCATTTCAAAGATGAATTATAAAGTACGTACGGAAAATGGAAAACCTCCAATCTTTCAGATTAACTATAATGTTAGCTTTTTGTTAGGCTTTTTTTTTTTTTGGTAGGGGCTTTTTTTAAAAAAGTTTTTTATTTATTTATTTGACAGGCAGAGTTGGACAGTGCGAGAGAGAGATAGAGAGAAATGTCTTCCCTCCGTTGGTTCACTCCCCAAATGGCCGCTACGGCCAGAGCTACATCGATCTGAAGCCAGGAGCCAGGTGCTTCTTCCTGGTCTTCCACGCAGCTGCAGGCACCCAAGCACCTGGGCCATCCTCCACTGCCCTCCCGGGCCACAGCAGAGAGCTGGACTGGAAGAGGAGCAACCGGGACTAGAACCCAGCGTCCATATGGGATGCCGGCGCCGCAGGCAGAGGATTAACCAAGTGAGCCATGCACCAGCCCGGTAGGGGCTTTTTATTAAAGTGTGAGTGTTCCCTTCTATTCCTATTTTTCCGTAGCATTTTTATGGTGCTGAATTGTGTCAAGTGCTTATTCTACAAGGACTGATACATTTATGTATTCCCCCCCCCCCCTTTTAGGCCGTTATCATCATGCTGTATTGGTTGATTGTTGAATATTGAAAAAGCCTCACATCTTCGGAGAAAATCTTACTTGGTCATGATATATAATTATTTTTATACACTGTCAAGTTCTTTTTGCTAATATTTTTTAAGGATTTTTTGAATCCTCACTTTGTGATAGCCTGGTTAGGGTGGCAGATAGGATTCCTGAGCCATTGCTGGTGTGCGTGTGAGTAGGGCCACACTTTTCTTCCACGGTGTTTGGCTGGAATTGTTAGTGGAGATGGCTGGAAGAGAGGTCCTTGTGTTCCTGTAAGAAAAGAATTTCAGAAGTGAGACAGAACAGTAGTAAGTGAGCTAGCAAAATTTAATGAGGTAGTGCATCCAACAGGCTGGATGGGCAGCTCTTCGGATGAGTCTCTCAGAGTGCGTACTCTGCATTCAGACCGGAGTTTATGTGGGTATGGTGTCCATTTCTCACCGCCCCCCCCCCCTTCTTCAGGGCAAAGGGTTTCCTGGATGTGAAATTTGTAAAATTCTTCCCAATGTTCTATTATCCAATGTTATCAGATTGGGCAGCTCTCTTGGCAGGGCCAGGAAGATTTTCCAGGGGCATCGGCAAGGGGCGGGGGCGGGGGGAAAGACTGGCGCCACCTACAAAATTACTGGGGCATGGGCAGGACTTTGATGTGTAAGTGCTGGGCTGCTTCCAAGGCTGCTTCTAAGGCAGCCACATGCCTTCCTGCAGGAAGTGTTTGTCTTTTCCTCCAGGCCCCTTTCATATATATAGGCTGTCTACCTCCCTACCCAGTAAAGACATTACCAAAAGTTTGGGTTTTTCTGGCCTTTCTAGGCCACCCCTTTCCTGGTTCTTGGCTAGAGATAGCAGGCTTTGCTGAGACTTCAATTTATTTATTTTTGTCTGTACCTACTGGTTTGTGTAGGTTATGCACTTGTTTTTTGTTTGTATGTTTTTAAAGATTTAAAAGGTAGTTGACAGAGAGAGAGAGAGAGACAGAGACAGAGAGAGACAGAGAGACAGAGAGAAAAGTGACAGAGAGAGAGAAAGCAATCTTTTTTCCACTGGCTCATTCTCCAAATGGCCAGGGCTGGACCAGGATGAAGCCAGGAGCCTGGAACTCCATCTGGGCCATGTTCGGCTGTTTTCCCAGACAGTTAACAGGGAGCTGGATCAGAAGTGGAGCAGCCAGCACTGTAATTGGTACTTCGATGTGGGATGCTGGCATCCCAAGCGATGACTTAACCCATGGTGGTTTAACCCATTGTACCACAAAGTCATCCCCTTGGGTTCCTGACTTCTTTAGCTTCAAGCAGAGAACAATGAAACAAGAAAATCTCAGGGAACTTGCAATGTTATTACTTGGATTCTAAGATTTCTAGCTGTTTTCTCAGCCTTTCAGATTCTTCTTATGTTGGTTTATATAAGTCCAAGACCTTTAGTTATGTTTAGCAGAAGAAATAGGGCAAATTATGTCAAATCCATCTTCCTGCAAGCAGAGGAATTTTTTAAAATAGGTTTTGTGGAGCCTGTTTCTATAGTCAGTATTATTGGATGTCTGTGGATGGTAATGAGTGTGTAAGGTTGATTAATACCTGGACTATCAGCCCATTGTTGAACAACTTCTGTGATAAAATGGGCATCACGGTCAGATTGCAAATCACACGACCTGGATTAATTTCAAGAACCACACTCTGCCGGCGCCACGGCTCACTAGGCTAATCCTCTGCCTTGCGGCGCCAGCACACCAGGTTCTAGTCCTGGTCGGGGCGCCGGATTCTGTCCCGGTTGCCCCTCCTCCAGGTCAGCTCTCTGCTGTGGCCAGGGAGTGCAGTGGAGGATGGCCCAGGTCCTTGGCTCTTGCACCCGCATGGGAGACCAGGAGAAGCACCTGGCTCCTGCCTTTGGATCAGCGCGGTGTGCCAGTTGCAGCGCGCCGGCCATGGCGGCCATTGGAGGGTGAACCAACGGCAAAGGAAGACCTTTCTCTCTGTCTCTCTCTCTCTCTCACTGTCCACTCTGCCTGTCAAAAAAAAAAAAAAAAAAAAAACAAACAAACAAAAACACACTAAGGACATTCCTTTGCTGGTTTCTTTGCTGGCCACGGTGTTTGACTGTCATGAATCCAGTTCCACAACCTCACTTTCCTTGCTGAGCAGGCCCCTGAATTTTGGTGAGAGAGAGGGTTAAGGAGTTGTGATACTATGACAGTCAGAGTCATAGGATCTAAGGCGTCCGGCTACCTGATTGTAGCAGACAGATCTGAAGGTGACCCCCAGGATTTAGACCTCCTTGGCTCCCTGAACTGCAGGTTCCTCTAGTAGTCTTAGAGCAGATCTTAGGCGCAAAGAGCAATTTCTTAGCTGATACCCAGAAAGACACTGGGGACTCAGTTCCATAGGTGCAAAGAAATGAATACCACCACCAACCGCACGGGGACTGGAAGAAGATTCTTCCTCACTAGAGCCTGCAGGTGAGAACACAGCCCAGCTGATACCTCCTTGTGGCCTTATGAGATAGACCCTGGGCAGAGGACCCAGAAGTCATGCCTGGACCTCTGCAGAAACTGCACTTATGTGTGTTGTTTCAAATCCCTAAGTTTTGATAGTGTGCCGTAGAGCAATAGGTAATTAATACTCCAGCCATCAGGCATCACCTCTTTAGGAAAAGCCTTAGACAGCAGAGGGTAGAGGCACTCACGACAAATTCCGACCCCCACACTGGTGCCAATGCAGAGGAAGTTATGTGGTCATGATGGAGAGCTGTAAACATGTGTTAAGAGACGTCTGTGGAAGGGTGGGATAACATCTAGGTTTTGGTATCATCTGAAAATGGAGATAATTACATCTCTACTTCACAAAGTGGCTGTAAGCATGCCAGTAAAGCTGTTTAGCAAAGGGCCTGACACGTTTCATGGTCTGTAACCCAGGAAGTGTGGCTCTTGCCATCTTAGTATTGCAATGATGTCGTTTCTGGCAACATCCACAAATTATAGTTGCAATTAATTTTGCAGATCTCTTCTCTCCGCCCTCCCTTCCAACCAACTAACCGACCACCCACCACCCACCCACCCAGTTCTCCATGGATCAAAGCATCCTTGGTGCATTCCTTCCTCAGTCCTCACAGAACAGAGCAACATTTCACAGTTTCCTACAGCTATCACCATTTAACAACAGCAACAAAAAAGGAACCAACGCAGGCAGCCAAACACTCTCATACCCATAGGCTTCTCCGCAGAATCAACCGCATTTCTGGCTAATGAGGACTTCAAAGGAGGTTCATTAACAAAATAATATTCTGTCCAAAGAGTAGGCTCCTGTGTCCTATTATCCGCGCCCTGGAGAAAGTGGGGACAGGGGAGTTTCGAGGCCTGGCCTGAACGCCCAGTGGGGGCGTGGACAGTCCGGAACCCCGGCTTCATCCACTCGGAAACGCTGGGGGCTTTAGGCGAGCTCCTGGGGTGCATGCATTTCAGTCCCCAAAGGGATGGAAATCCTGTTTAATCAAGCCAGCCTAAGAGGCCAGGCCAGGGGCAAGCTCTAGGTGTCGAGCCACCCTCGCTCGGCCCAGGGGCCCACGGTGGGCCCGCCGCCGCCGCCCAGTGCCACATCAGCGCCGGCGCTGCACTTCCAGGTTCCTTTCGAGGATGGGGCGAGCTGGCCCGGCGGGCGGGGGCAGGCCCGCGGCCGGCGGGAGTGGCGGGCCGTCGGGCCAATCGACAGCAAGAGAGAAACGGCGGCCACCAATGAGCTGGGGCGTCTGCCAGCCGCGGCAGCCCAGGCTCATGCCCCGCGGGGGGACCAGATGAAGCACATCTGGACAGCTGTGCTGAGAAACTGTGCGGCCCTTTCGCGGACCCGACGTCAGCGAGGCACGTCCCCCACGTCCTTTCCTTGTGGCCACTTCTTATTTACTCATTGTCCCAGAGAGGCAACCAGGGACCCAAGCTCCAAACTTTTCCACACCCCCTAATGCGAGACGGGGCCAGATCCCATCCAACACCCAGTTTAATTTTCATGGGGCACTGGGATCAAAAGGACAGAAGCAGCAGCAACAAAAGCCCAGCCGCTGCCTGGTTTTAAACTGGCAGAAGTGGGAAAAATAAAGTGTTGAGTAAACAGACCAAGTTGGGTAAGTTTTGGATACGTGCTGAACGTCTTCTTTCTCCAGCTGTGATTTCTCTCCTGTGTCTCTGCGGTCTCGCCAGCCTTCTCTTCATTAAGGGGAGAAAAATCGCTCGCTGGCACTCTTTACCTTCCTTCTCTTCCGTTTTGCGAACATTTTAATTTAATTTCGTCTTTTGGTTTGCTAGGTTGAGCTGCACTTTTATTATTATTTTGAAATGGTATTAGACTGAATTGCTAGTATTCTGTTTGCCTAGTATTCTGTTAAGCTGTTCCTAACTCCGAAGTTGACTACTGGTGCATTTATTTTTCCGTTTTCTTCCTGGGAGAACATTGTATACATTTGTACTGAGGAAATTCTTATCCACCCCACATCCCTGACTGTTTTGATGGAGGACTGAGAAAATTATGTGTCTCATTCTGAGTTAACACAGCTTTTCTTCTGTTAATAAGATCTTTAAGATTATTAGAAATCTGAATTATTTAGATAACTGTTGCAGTTTCCACTTTAATTTGAATGTAATTGTAAAATCCAGATATCTCTTTCCTATATTCTTTCTATAGTGGCATATGCAAATTCTTTATGATAACAATATACATCAGACATGTGAAAGATCACTTGTGTATACATAACCAATCTATCAAAATAGTGTTCAGTGTGACTGTTATATGTGTGTGCTTGCAGATTGTTCTGGCTTATATTTCAGGATTTAGAAATGGAATGGTGGAAAATGTTGAGCTAGTGAATGGGCCAAGCCCCGTTCCCCTGATACATCTCTAATTCCCTCTGTTGAAGCAATGTTCTGGACTTGAGACTTTTGTCACACGGTTTTTACTGTCATGGGAGATCTGGCCATGATTGATTTTTAACTTTTAGCTCAGAAGCAGTAGGTGGGAACCAGGAGAAATAATTGTTAAGAGTGTTTTTGATTCAGAAAGGTATTGCATACAAGGAGGTAGGACAGCCGAAGTGATTCTCAGGGATACGAGGTTACACAGGACAGTGTTGCAGAGACGCAATATAAAGAGTGCCGGACTGACTCCATTGGCAACTCGCGGTGCAAGCTTGGGCAGGTTACTCTGTCATTTGTGCCTCAGTTGCCTTGTATGTAAGGTGCTGTACTTCCTCCACTGAGGAGTGTTCTCAGTTTCCTTCTCAGTAATGTGCTAATAATAATAGCACCTACCTCATGAGGCTGACTTGAGGACTTGTGTTAACCTGCTAGTTCTGGCTCAGATAAATCTGCTGCTATTGCCTTCCTTCCCAGCTCCCTCTGCCTCCGCTGTAACCTGTACTCTGACAGTTAGTAGTTGCTGAGTGCTGACCAGTTGTTGGCCAGGCAGTGTGTGAGGCCGGAAGGAAAGCCTTGAATGGGGAATGAGGTAGAAGTGATCTAGTGCCTTAGAAAGATCTAGTAGGTGCCAGGAGTGCAGAGGATGAATCAAAGTCCTCTTATCTAGGATGACTTCATGGAATGGTTGGCATTTCTGGGAAAGAATTTTGCTGTAGAGCTTTGGTTGGGGGTGGGGAAAGGGAGCCTAGAGCTGCAGCGTTCTAGGAGGAAGGGGAAGCAGGGGCAAAGGCACTGTGGTTGGGAAGTGCGAGCTATCCTGGGGACCCTGGGACACTGACCTATGGTAGGTTAGTGGGAGCAAACTGAGAGAGGTGTGAAAGGAGAACATGGATTGTCAGATTGGAAAAGGGAAGCTTGAAAGGTTAATTGGTGGGAGATGGTGAGCTGAACTGGCTGGCAGTAGTTATGTTGTGGTGGTCTTTCTGGAATGGTCCATCTCTGGTGTCTTCTCTCCACTTCTTGTTCCACTACTTCTGTGATCTTCCCTCAAGGTCTGCAGGTTGGGCAGGAGGCACTGAACAACAAGCCTGGGCCCCATGCTTTGGACTCAGTCTGTGTTGACTGTCTTGGAGCTTCTCTTAAGGAGTTTGGTGCTCCAAGCTATTATTCATGCTATTTCTTGTTAGTAGGCCACGCCCTAAAGTCTTTGACATCGATGTGATATTTTTTGGAAAGTTTTTTTTATTCATTTGAGAGGTAGAGTTATAGACAGGGCGAGGGAGAGACAGAGAGAAAGGTCTTCCATCCACTGGTTTACTCCCCAAGTGGCCACAACACCTGGAGCTGAGCTGATCTGAAGCCAGGAGCCTGGAGCTTCTTCTGGGTCTTCCATGCAGGTGCAGGGGCCCAAGCACTTGAGCTATCTTCCACTGCTTTCCCAGGCCAATCAGAAGAGGAGCAGCCAGGACTCGAACCATCACTCATTTGGGATGCTGGCACTGCAGGGCAGAGGCTTAGCCTACTACGCCTCACAGACGTGATTGCTACAACCCTCCCCTGTCCCCATATAGACACAGTGTATGCACAGTAGTCCTTTTTCATCATGCTGATAGAATTGTCTATTCATGTGTTATTACTTATAACTTTATAATTTATAGTTACTGAGTAGAGGGTCAGTTTGGAGTTCTCTGACTTGAGGGCACAGGGCTATGGCCTTGGGCTGTGTCCTTGCTCTGCTGCTGCCCACCTGTAAGACCTCAGGCAAGATAGTGAGCCTTTATGGGTCTCTGTGCCATCATCTGTGAAATGATCTTTGAGATAGTTTCTCCCTTGGATGATCATTCACCCCCCACTGCACCATGGAACAATCTGTTGCTGGCAGATGGCTGTTTGATAAATCTATGGCTAATATTTACTGACCACTTAATACATGGCAGACCTACTTCTGAGTGTTTTGCCTGTCTTTTTTTTTTTTTTAACTTTTTTGAGAGTACATTCTTTTTTTAATGATTTATTTTATTTATTTGAAAGAGTTACAGAGAGAGGTAGAGGAAGAGAGAAAGAGAAAGAGAGAGAGAGAGAGAGAGAGAGAGAAGTCTTTCATCTGTTAGTTCACTCCCCATCTGGCCACAACAGCCAGAGCTGAGCTGATCCAAAACCAGGAGCCAGGAGCTTCTTCCAGGTCTCGCACATGAGTACAGGGGCCCAAGAACTTGGGTCATCCTCTGCTGCTTTCCCAGGCATATTAGCAGAGAGCTGGGTCGGAAGTGGAGCAGCTGGGACTTGAACTGGTACCCATATGGGATGCTGGCACTGCAGGCTTGGGCTTTAACCCATTGGGCCACAATGCCAGCCCTCTGCATGTCATAACTGATGCCATCCTCACAGCACCCTGTAAAGGTTATTTGTATCCTGTTTTTATAGATGAGGATTCAGACACTGTACTTAAGATTGCACGGTGCACAAATGACAGGTGCAGACCCAGACCGACCAACTCCAGAGCCCAAACCATGAGTCTGCATTGCCTTCGTGTGTGAGCAGCTATGGCTGCCGATGTTGCTTGTGGTGCTGACAGTCAAGCCGTCCATGGGAAGAGGATTCCTGGAGGCAGGGGCACATTTGGAGGGACTGAATTGATAAAAATTGCAGGCAGAGTCCAGAATATCAACCTAAGCCTTGTCAGTGACTTGCACTCAATATGAGACAGGAAACAATTTCCTTGTTTATGAGATGGGTTTCAATCTAGGTATGCACTTTGCCTTTTCGTGAATTTTTTTTGAGGTCAAAAAGCTTTATTGCGCACATTAAGGGGGTGGGGGAACTTGAAGATGCTTTGAGACTGAAATCCAACGTCTTCGGCCAGGTCTTCTACTGTCGCAGTCCCCTTTTTCATCAGTCAGGATTGAACATGATCCCCTCATGGTGCCTGGACTTACACTAGACAGTATGTGTTAGTTGAATGACTGTCCCTTTTGAAAAAGGAAGTTGTGGGCCTAGTTTTTTTTTTTTTTTTTCAATTAAAAAAAATAAATGATGTAGTGCCCCAAGACTTAGAATAAGTGGAGCAAATGCCAGGTAAACATTCTACTCATAATTCCTTCCTTCCTTCCTTCCTTCCTTCCTTCCTTCCTTCCTTCCTTCCTTCCTTCCTTCCTTCCTTTTTTTTTTATTTGACAGATAGAGTTAGACAGTGAGAAAGACAGAGAGAAAGGTCTTTCTTCTGTTGGTTCACCCCTCAAATGGCCACCACACCGGAGCTATGCCGATCCGAAGCCAGGAGTCAGGTGCTTCTCCTGGTCTTCCATGCGGGTGCAGGGCCCAAGCACTTGGGCCATCCTCCACTGCCTTCCCAGGCTACAGCAGAGAGCTGGACTGGAAGAGGAACAACCAGGACTAGAACCCGGTGCCCATATGGGATGCCAGCACTGCAGGCGGAGGATTAACCAAGTGAGCCACGGTGCTGACCCCCTTCCTTCCTTTTTTAAAGATTTTATTTATTTCTTTGAGAGAGCTTCTGGGTCTCCCTTGTGGGTGCAGGGGCCCAAGAACTTGGCCTATCTTTTACTGCTTTCCCAGGCCATAGGTGGAGAGCTGGATCAGAAGTGAACCAGGTAGGATACAAACTATGTACACATATGGGATGCTGGCTCCACAGGCAGAGGCTTAACCTACTAGGCCACAGTGCTGGCCCCTCTACTCCTATTTCTTAAGCAGTCTGGTTT